ACAAGGGTGTTCCATCAGAGAAGAAGACATTCTCAGACCAGAATCAAAACAAAGAGGAGCGTACACTATTGCTCATTAAAAACACTGCCCAAGAAGCTAAGAGTGTCACTAAAACAATTCAGATTAAAGAGAAGCCACCGGATGCTCAATCAATTCACCAAATCCGAGGTAAGAAAACCCTCATAAATTTCAATGGAATAACTTGATATATCTATGTGCAGGTGATCAAGTTTTGAGGTCAAAACTTCTTGAAGATGGAGGGTATGATGAGGACATCCAAACCATACCAAATTGGAAGCAAACAAAACCAACTGGTTTGAGCATTAAACCAACCGTACTGGATCAGATTGCAAGTTTTGGAGAGTTTCAGCTTATCAACATGTGGTCGAGCCCGATATGGAGTTCACATAGTCATTTGATCAATCAAGAAGTCTGAGCTCATGGAGAAACACCTAGGAGAAGACCCGGATCGAAACCGCCTTTTAAATCCATTATGTGGATCTATTTGGAGGTAAATAAGGAAAGCCTCTATTTCCCTTATCAAGATACATTTCCATACTTCTTATGGGAATCAGGAGACACTCTAGATCAGATAGAAGATTTACCACACGAGCCTTGGTGCATCTTACCACACAATAACCTGCTTAATCATTACTTGCCATTTTTGGAACCAAATGAGATCAATCAGCAACGACTCTTTCTTGGTCATTGCTGCTGCGTTTTGAAGTCATATTCAGTGCATCTAGACTTCCCAAGATCGCATCACTTTCAGCCCAAGCTTTCAAGACTCAAGCATCAACAACTTGCCTTATATGGACCGATTTTCGCTTTAATATTCCAACGGCTCTCTTATTTATTTTCGTGCGATTTGTTTCTGCTTTTGTAGCCATTAGAACGTTGTAACTGAGCCTATAAAAGCTCAGCTCTTGATTCATTCTAAATTACCCTTGATCATAGATTAATACAAAGTTTATAGTTTTTCTTTCAAAGTAGTGTATTTGAAGATTGTTCTTGTTCTTTTGAATAAAAGTGTGTGATTCACTTCTATTATTTAGAAGCCATGAATTAAGTGTGTTTGTGAGATTCAAACATCCTTGTTCGTCCATTTGATTGAGCGAGTCAATCACTTTCCTTCCATCTCTACCATCGTTTCCACATTCCGTAAGTTTATGTTTGGAATCTCTCGATCATCGAGTGGTCTTAGAATTGGAGTGATTCCGATCCTATATCATGAAATAATTAATTATGTCTACCAATCATAATATACATGTCTATTAATCATAATACTTTGAAATTTTTATTACCATGATTTTTGTTTAAATTTCATATTTTTAATAGTCTTTTATGATGTATCCAAAAATACCTAAATATATAGTAATAATTCATTCGTAAATTTTTGTTTTCCGCCATTCCGCAAAATTTATCCAGTCGGACAATAATTTCATTCTGCAAGTTCTCATTCCGCAGAAAATAAAGCATTATGCGGATTAGTTTTTGTTTTCCATCGTTCCGCAATTATGCAGTATTACCAATTCCGCAGTTGTTTCTCTTTAGAGATTTGGGAAGGCCAATTTTTATTAATCTTTTAAATGCATTTTTATTAACCAGCTTAATGAAATTAAACGTTAGGAGGATACCTAATAATGTTATTGAGATTGCAATGAACAAGTTTCAATACAATCTTGGTGGGTTCATCGTCAAAATCGATGAATGTGGTCATAAACATTTTGTTGAAGTAGAAAAACTCCAAAAAAATTCTGAGCCCTCTCGAGTCTCGTCTAACTTGCACCTGCCCCAGCTATAATAAACACAACTACCCACAACTTCTTCGTTTGTATCGCTTTTTAAAATTGGATTCACTCTTTTTCTCCCTACGCCCCTCGGTTCACTATTACTTCTGGCGACTTTTCTATCTCCACTCTCACCGTTAAACAGCCGATTCGCCGGAATTCTCCGCTCCATGGCAACCACTGTCGCTGGACCCAGACTCGGTTCCTTGAAAGTCGCCGGTAAGCTCCATGGTTACCGTGAGACCTCTCAGGTCCGGCAATGGGCTCCGCTTCACTCTGCGATGCCTCATCTCGGAATGCTGCGATGTGGTTCGCGACAGCCATTTGCATCATCTGGTATTACTCCTCTTAGATTTGAATTGATCTCTCCCTTAGATTTGATCTCCCTTCTCATTAGATTCTTTTGTGGAACCTAGTTGTGAAAGCTCAAGCGACCACTGCTGAGCAATCAACACTCGAAGCTGCTCCAAAAGTGGAATCTCCAGTGGTCGTTGTGACTGGTGCCTCTAGAGGGATTGGTAAAGCAATTGCTCTATCCTTGGGGAAAGCAGGCTGTAAGGTTAGCTCTAACGCCACATCGCATCTTGGATCCATTTTGGATGTCTTTGTTTCATGTCATACTTGTTGGATTCGCATTCAGCTNAGGATTGCTTCCAGTTTTTACATCAACATATTTCTCTCTGTAGTTGGTATCCACAAGTCTTAGTTGTTTGTCNCGTTGGGATTGGGTTATAGTGCTTTAGTTCTACTGGAAGTATAACACTTGAGGTACGGTCTAATCGCAGCTGATCTAATTGTGTTTCTGCTGCAGGTCTTGGTGAATTATGCTAGGTCATCAAAGGAGGCTGAAGAAGTTTCTCAACAGGTGATTGATTGATGCCCTGAATTAGAGTACAATTTTCATTCTGTGCTGCTTAAGTTTTGCACCTCTTTCCTTGTTTTCTGTTTCCGTTAGACCAATAAATCCTATGGAGAGATGTTGTTATTGGTACATAAAGAAGTGAGGCACCTTTTGAGTTTCTGGCTCAAGAAATGAATTACAATTGAATTTTCTGCCCTGGAAAATGTTTGGTTATACTTTTTCTTGTTGCCGTATGCTTCTCAAATGCGTTTGTAATTTTGCTCTCGATCCACTCTGCCGAATGAATTTTTTACCCCATCTTTTACCTATCAAATAACATCTGCTGTCGATACTGTTTTCTTCTACTATACCCCCTTGTTCCATGTTTTCTCTGACATTTGTTCTNTATGGAACTGTAGATTGAAGCATNTGGTGGACAGGCTATTACTTTTGGGGGTGATGTCTCGAAAGAGGCTGATGTGGAAGCAATGATGAAAACCGTGAGTGATCAACTGTAATTATTTTCCTTCTACATCTTATCATATTCCTTTTGTTTTATTTTTCTGCAGGCTGTTGATAAATGGGGAACCATTGATGTCGTGGTTAACAATGCAGGTATATGAGAGAATCTTGGTTACAATTGGTTTTTACNTNGTACCTTACTGACATGTCTACATAATTTCAGGAATTACTCGAGATACCTTGTTGATACGAATGAAGCAATCCCAGTGGCAGGAAGTGATTGATTTGAATCTCACTGGAGTATTTCTCTGTACCCAGGTATGTGTTCCTGCAGTCCTACTGAAATTTTTATACTCAGAAGAATCTCAGGGACTGAAACTCTTTTACTCTTTGTAGGCAGCTATAAAGATCATGATGAAAAAGAGAAAGGTAATACTTCTTTTGGCCTTCAACGTTTTTTCGCAATAGTCTTCACTTGCTATCACTTGTCATANGCTGTGTCACNGCCTATATCCTAAACACATTTTTCATTGTTTTTTCACATGATACTCCTTCCGTGCATCATAACGAGAATCNATATATAAAAAAGCCAAATGGTTTTAATTTGAACTCCTCCAAGATTATGAAGTGAAATAAAGTCCAAGTATAATTTATGGTATACTTTTGCATACGATATTGCAGGGAAGAATCATCAATATATCGTCAGTTGTTGGTCTCATTGGTAATATTGGCCAAGCAAACTACGCTGCTGCTAAAGGTGGAGTTATTGCTTTTTCCAAGACTGCTGCTAAAGAGGGTGCAAGCAGGAACATAAATGTATGCGACCTACCTTCCTCATCGTATTCCTCTCTTTTCATTCCTTGGTCAATATTTTAAATTTGGTTGGACAATTTGGTTTTTTTCCAGGTCAATGTGGTTTGCCCTGGATTTATTGCATCTGACATGACTGCCAAGCTTGGCGAAGACATGGAAAAGAAAATCTTGGGAACAATCCCATTAGGTAAATGTGGAGTTCAACTTTTACATTTGCTGTGGGTAGTTACCGTGGGTTAGGATGTATCTGTGACATCAAAAGATCGTTAGAACAAAATAATATGATACAAAAGCAAACCGGTTTAATTTTGCAGGACGGTATGGACAACCGGAAGATGTGGCTGGCTTGGTAGAATTCTTGGCNCTCAATCCTGCAGCCAGTTACATCACCGGACAGGTTAACTCACACTCCTATCAAATGAAGATTTAGAGATTAACCTTGGTTTCTGATTATGTTTTGGTTACAAACGTTGTTGGTTTGCAGGCATTCACCATCGATGGAGGTATTGCAATCTAGGCATTTGGTCAGATCGGCTTTTGTTTAGGCAAAAACAATTTGGTATTCTTTTTGGAGAGAGAGATCTAAAACTCACTGCTTTAAACTACGTACGTTACATATTATGAATCAAAGAGCATTGTAGCCGAAGTTGCTGGGTTCTCTTTTTGATAGAACTGATAAAAGCACAGTTTGATCTTGGTCTGCCGTTTAAAACTAAGCTCCAGAAAACTTCATATTATTACGACTACAAACCAAAAGCAACGTAAATATAGTATAAGGTTTACAATTTCTTTCGACAAAAAAAAAAGGTTTACAATTTCTTTTTGCCAGCCTCTGGTTCTGGAGCGACAAGAAGGTATGTATTATTATTTTACTAATTTCGTACGGCGAGAATAGAACCAAGTGAAATTTAGTAACACAAAACTTGGGTGAGGTAACATTTGAAATCTAAAACTTTGTTTTTTTAAAATGTATTAATTCAACTAACTCACGGATCAAGTACCTACCAAGTTGTATCCATAAACCATAAAGTTTTGTTTGATAAAATCTAAATTAGATGATCTAGTGATCAAATACGTTTTCACATAAACTTGTATATAACAGCATTAGAAGAACCAGAAAATGGAGTTTTTAATATAAGAAGCAAGCATCATAACCAAAGATAATAAAACTTACGAGTCTTTCTTACTACACTAAAAGCTTAAAATAAATTAAACGGATAGTCATAGAAAATGAGACAGGCCGTAATTTATTTTCGTAATCCTATTTGTTTTTGTGTGGTACAAGAAGAAAAATCTAAGAGAAGAACTTGTAGGTCTTGGCGTTGACAATGATGGTTCTGAGGCCACCGATAGGGGCTAGGATCGTCAAAAGCACTCCTACTATAATGCAGAACTGCAGTTTTCATTGTCC